TGATTGGTAGATATAAACAAATTAAAACGAGATAGAAGATAATTTAAAGAAAGAAATTTCAAAAAAGGATGGTGAACTTTTTTTATTTATTTTTAGTTTATTAAATGGAAATACCTGATGGTGTTTGTAAAGAATTAAATCAAGAACTTACTGTTCTTTCTGAAGATCAATTAAAAACACAATGTGAAAGTATTGTGCAAGAAATTTGTAATGGAGATGAAATGGATAGTCGAAGTGATACGTTATATGAGTGTATTTGCCTTGTCTTTTTGGAAGGAGCAAAAAATGATATTGAAAAAGACCAATTTATGGAAGTATTAGAAGCAAACGAAATTGGGAATAAACAGAAAAGAAGTGTTTTATCAGAGATATATGATTTGCATAAGGAGGTGCTTAGGAATATCTTAAAAGAAACAACAACAATATTAACAAAGATTATAGGAGTGAGTTGGAAATTAGACTTTTTTGTTCGTCCTGAGCATAAAGAAATTAGTCCTGTCTTTCTTGTTACACTTAAAACAAAAGAACAAAACAATGAGGGCAAACTTGACTTTGTTTGCACACATGAAGAAATGGAAGATTTGATTACCAAATTAAAAGATGCACAACAACAAATTGAACGATCAGCAAGTCATGTTTAACAAGAATGTAATTTTTGTGTTATTGAGTTTATTTTATGTTATTAAAGAAAAAATAAAAATGATAAAAACTTCAAGAGAAAAAAAGAAAAAGAACTTAAAACAAATTAACCATTAAATAAGTATGGAAAGCCTTATTAAGGATTTAAATAAACAAAAAGAAACTAAAAAGGAAAGAGTGATTTTACCCTGTAAAGAGTTAAGTCTACCTAAGGCACTTACTGAACATAAACATGGAACAACTACTCTTTCAATGATTATTAAAGAAGGAATTATTGTGGCTGTTGATTCAAGAGCCACTCGTGGTGCTTTTATTTCATCTGGTAGTGTACAAAAATATATTCCTATTACTAGTCATATAATTGGTACAATGGCAGGAGGTGCAGCAGATTGTGCATATTGGGAACGAGAATTAACAAGACAATGCCGATTATTTGAGTTAAGAAATAAACCACCAATTAGTGTTGCAGCAGCATCAAAGATGTTAGCAAATATATTGTATCAATATCGTAATTATAATTTGAGTGTTGGATCAATGATTTGTGGGTATGATAAAACAGGACCTCATATTTTTTATGTAGAAGATGGAGGAGTTAGAATCCCAGGACATTTGTTTTCTGTTGGAAGTGGATCACCATATGCTGTATCTCTTATTGATTCTGAATATGATTATAATATGCCAAAAGAAAAAGCTATTGAGTTAGCACGTCGAGCAATTTTTCATGCTACACATCGTGATGTTGCATCAGGAGGAAATGTAAATGTAATCTTCATAGATAAAGATGGATGGAGATTAATATCAAGAAATGATTGTTATGATTTATATTATGATCATTACAATATAGAAGAATATCAAAAGCATGGACAAATGGAAGAAGATTAATTTAAAGTAATTTAATACAAAAGAATTGTTTGTTTATTATTGAAAAATAAACATAAAAAAAATATAGTTTTAGTGTTGTGAAAAACATTTACATTTTTGGAGTAGACAATGACAATGAAGTTTGAGACCTTGATAACATTGGTGTTGTTGGAACAAAATAAATGTCTGGTTGATCTAATTGATGTAATTGATAATCAAAGAGTACATTGTCAAATTTATTTGAAGAACCTACTACTGAAGACCAATTTACTTTATGTTGAAAAGCATATCTTCTAGCTTCTTCTTGCATTCCAAAATAATTTAGACAATAACAAATTGTTTGATGTTTTTCTAGTCTTTTTAACATGTCAAGTCCTAATTGAAACACACCATTATATTTATTTTTTAAAAAAATAATTTGAGTTGCAATAATTTCATTATCTGGAAAGACTCCAAATGTAATAAGATTAAGAAGAATAGAGTATTGTTTAATTTTATCTAATGCTTCTATTAATCTTAATAAAACTGCAACTTCTGGATGTTCATTTGAAGAAAGCCAGACTTGAATATATTCTAACATTAAATCAATAGAATATTGAACTATTTCATATTCCCCATCAATAGGAAGATTTAATAAAATTTGATATTTAAGTTTATCTAAATCAATAGCACATTGTTCTTTCTTTTTATTCATTCGGAGGATAGCTACTAACACTTTTGACATAAAAGAAAGATCATAACGTAAGTCAATCATTTGACTTAATACATCAATTGCTATTGACCCTGCTCCATTTCTTCTTAAAAGATTTCTGACTGATTTAATTGTTTGTTTATTATGACTTATACTCATTTTTTGTTCAACAATTTTATAATACAAATAATATTCTAAATTGAATTTCCTAATACATCCATTGTTTTGATTAATAAGAAAACGTTGATTATAAATATTATTTTCAATAGAGTCTTTCATTTCAAATGAACATTTAGCATTTTGTAAAATACAATATTCTTTATTATGAAAATCATATAATGATACTTGTTTTCCATTTGTTAATAATACTAAATTATCTACAACAAAGACTATATAATTCATTGATGCTTGAACTTCTACATCAATATGATCCAATCCTCGTTTATTAATTCTTTTAGTATTATCAATAATAAAAAAAGATGCAATTTGACTAAATGGAAAATAAACAAAACAAACAATAGCACCATAAATTTCAATGATTTGAAATATAGGTACTGTTGTACTTTTTACTTTAGATACATTAGGATTTTCTATTACAATACTGCGAAATGGACGAATATAATCACTGAGAGAAAGGACTGTTAATGTAAATTTCCCTCCAATAGAGAGGTATGTATTAAATACTAAATATTTAAAAATACTTGAAAATGTTGGTTTTGGGAATCTTTCACAAGAAACTGTTGATCCATTGAAATCTAACATTTGAACTGACCCATGATACAAACAAATAATATGTTTTCCTACAATTGCTAATTGCCTTAACTTCTCTAATAAATGAACTTTACTAATTTGTCGTGAAGTATTAATAAATAATATTTTTTCATCATAACAATATGCAACAATATTTTGTTTTGGTGTTTGAAACCTAACAAAATGATGAATAATCATTTCATTGTTTTCATGTTTGGATATTGAACTTGTAAAAATTCGTTCAAATAATGATTTATTTTCTCCATTGTCTTTAAGTTGAGTTTGAGGAATACTGATTTGTTCAAATGGTTGAGTATCTGAATTATTTATTTGGTATATTTGATTATTTGATTTTGATGGAATAATGAAATAGCAAATACCATTAGAGTCTTTATTAATGATTTGAATTGGCTTTGAGTCTTCTGTGATATGAAAATCAGTAATATAAATTGGACTTTCCTCCATATCTTGTCCCTTTTAATTCTTTTTTCTTTTCTTTTTTACAATTTTCTTTCTTTCTCTTTTTCTATTTTTTATTATTCTTTTACTATACCATCTTTTCGGAAATTTCATAAAATCTCAGAATTATCCTTAATAGATTTACATCAAATCTATATTTTGTAATATATAACTTAATTTCTCTTTAATGTGTCTTTCTCCATTCTCTTCTCACTCTTTTTTTTATAAAATTGTTTTTGTAGACTAACAACAACCAACACAAATGAACATACTATCTTTTG